TGATGTCAAGGAGCTTACCCCCTATGTTTTCCTATAGGAATTTAACTGTTTCAAGTCTTAAACTTAAATTTTTCATCTATTTTGAATTGATTTTGTATGTGATATAAGACAAGGGTCCAGTTTCATTCTTTGGTATGTGGCTGTCCAGTTTTCCCAGCACCATCAAAGAGATTATCCTTTCCCTATTGTATATTCTTGGCTCCTTTGTCATAAATTAATCAACTATATATGCATGGGTTGATGTCTGGGCTCTCTTTTCTATTCCATTGATATATGTGTCGAGTTGTTTGTTTTATTATTGAGTTTTTTTTTTTTTTAAGATTTTATCTGTTTACTTGACAGAGAGAGATAGTGAGAGCAGGAACACAAGCAGGGGGAGTGGGAGAGAGAGAAGCAGGTTTCCTGCGGAGCAGGGAGCCCGATGTAGGGCTCGATCCCAGGACCTGGGATCATGACCTGAGCCAAAGGCAGACGCTTAATGACTGAGCCACCCAGGCGCCCCTATTATTGAGTTTTAAGAATTCTTTGTATATTTGGGACACCTGGCTGACTTGGTCAGTGGAGCATGTGACTCCTAATCTCAGGGTCATGAGTTCGAGCCTCATGTTGGGTGTAGAGATTACTTAAAAAAATAAGTAATTTTTTTTTAAAATGTTCTTTGTATATTTTCATTATTTTGGATACCTTTTTCAGATGTCTTTTGCAAATATTTTCTCCCAGTATGTGGCTTGTCTTTTCACTTTCTTGACCATGTTTTTCACAGAGCAGAAGTTTTTAATTTTAGGGAAGTCCAGCTTCTTAATTCTTTCATTCATGGATCATGTCTTTGGTATTGTATTTACAAAGTCTTTGGCAAATGTGGGGGTCATCTAGATTTTCTCCTATTTTATTTTCTAAGAGTTTTTTTTTTAATAGCTTTGTATTTTACATTTAGGTCTATGATCCATTTAGAGTTAATTTTTTATGAAAGGTATAAGGTCTGTGTCTAAATTTTCTTTGCATGTGGATATCCAGATGTTTCAGCACAATTTGTTTAAAAGACTATGTTTTCTTCATTTTATTGACTTTGCTCCCTTGTCAAAGATCAGTTGACTGTAGTTGAGTGAGTCTATTTCTGGGCACTCTATTCCATTCCATTGATCTATTAGTCTTTTCCTTTGCCAATACCACACTATTTTGATTAGTGTAGCTTTATAGTAAATCTTGAAGTTGGGTAGTGTCAGTCCTCTGACTTTGTTCTTCTCCTTCAATATTGTGTTGTCTATTCTGGATCTTTTGCCTCTCCATATAAACTTTAGAATCAGTTTGTCAATATCCACAAAATAACTTGCTCAAATTTTTATTGAGATTGCATTGAATATAGAGATCAAGTTGGAAAGAACTGACATCTTGACAATATTGAGTCTTCTTATCCATGAACATGAATATCTCTCCACTTATTTAGTTCTTTTTTGTAATCTTTCATCATAATTTTGTGTTTTTCTTCATATAGATCTTATACATATTTTGTTAGATTTATACTTAAGTATTTTAGGGGTACTAATATAAGTGGTATTGTGTTTTTAATTTCAAATTCCATTTGTTCATTGCTGGTATATAGGAAGGTGATTAACTTTTGTGTATTAATCTTTATCTTGCAACACTGGTATAATTACTTGTTTGTTCCAGGAGTTTATTTGTCACTTCTTTTGGATTTTCTCCATAGAAACTTACGTGGTCTTGAACAAAGACAGTTTTATTTCTTCTTTTCCAATCTGTATACCTTTTATTTCCTTTTATTGTTTTATTTCATTAGTTAGAACTTCTAGTACAATGTTGTATTGAGAGAAGAGGGGGAATCCTTGCCTTGTTCCTGATCTGAAGAGGGAAAACTTTTAGTTTCTCATCATTAAGTATGATGTTAGCTTTGGAATTTTGTGTAGATGTTTTCTATCAAATTGAGGAAGTTCCCCTCTATTTCCTACTTTGCTGAGAGTTTTTCTTATTAATGAGTGTTGAATTTTGTCAAATGCCTTTTTAAAAAGTTAATTAATTAATTTTTTTTTAGTAGGCTCCACGCCCAGCATGGAGCCCAACACAGAGCTTAAACTCACGACCTTGAGATCAAGACCTGAGCTAGGATCAAGAGTCAGACACTCAACCAAGTGACCCAGGCACCCCAAATGCTTTTTAAATATCATTAATATGATCATATGATTTTTCTTCTCTAGTCTGTTGATGTGATGGTTTACATTATTTGATTTTCAAATGTTGAAATAGCTTTGCATGTCTAGAATAAATATCACTCAGTTGTGTATAATTCTTTTTATATATTGTTGCATTCAATTTGCTAATATTTTGTTGAGGATTTTGTACCTATGTTCATGAGAGTCTTGGTCTGTGGTTTTCTTTTCTTACAATGTCTTTGTCTGGTTTTGGTATTAGGATGAGATTTTAGAGAATTGGCATAATTTCTTCCTTAAATGTTTGGTAGAATTCACTTATGAACCTGCCTGGACAATATAGCCAGTTTTTAAAATGAATTTTCTTCAGTTTTCATCTCAATGAGGTATTTTATTAATTTATTTGTATCATGAGATAGTAATATTACATTGAACTTCTTTGAAGGTATTCTACACAGTCTAAACTGTGTTGAGGAGTGCTGAGACAAAATAATTAACTCTGATATTTAGTCCCAACCTTGCAGCAACTTTATTCTTCTCAGCTAGGTGAGTGTGAGAGACTTGGTGTGTTACATATGAGAGTCCTTTGAACTGAGAGTAGGTGAATGTCAAAGTCTCCAGGAGACCATAGATTTATTTGAAAATGGTGAAGCCACAGTCTCTAAGGAAGTAATTAAGCACCTAAAAAGTGCCAGTATCCGTATCCAGGCACTGGATATTCATGTTCTTGAATCCCTGTCCCCACTTTTAAAGATAGGCATTGTCTTCATTTAACTGATGAGGAAACTGGGATTCAAAGAAGTTAACTAATTTGGGTTTCCTGTCTGGCTCAGTTGGTAGAGCATGCGACTCTTGATCTCAGGTTTGTAAGTTTGAGCCCCACATTGAGTGTGGAGATTACTTAAAAATAAAATCTTAAAAAAGAAAAAACCCAAAAAACAAAGAAGTTAGTTAATTTGCCCAAGTTCACACTATAAATGCAGGAGTCAGGATCTGAATCTTGATCTTGTTCCTCTAAAGTCATGTCCTTTCAAGTCATTACCAAGCTGCTCATAAAGGGAGAAATACAGAGTTGCTTGGTTCTAGAAAGTATCTAAGACAGAGCCAGTGTTGAGAAACAAGAGCACAACATGCATGACCTTTGGTAATGGGTTCACCTAGCATAGAACACATTTACCTCCAAATTTGGATAGAACTTGAACTAATTATTTAGTCCATGTGAGTCCTTACAAACTTCTAAGTTTGTATAACATCTGCCTCACAAAATCATTAACCTTGTATCCTGCAACATATCTAGGACTGTACCCAACACATAGCAGGGTTATGTAAATGATAATGCCTTTCACCCCTTGATCCTGTGATCTATGCTTAATATTCTTGCAAAACAAGTAGTTATAAACACCCCAGTGCATCTATTTTTCTAAAAAATCAGAAAACTTCAATGTAACAGATTTCTCTAAACAAGGTTAAATTATATAAAAAGTATACTAAAATGTCTATATTTATTTAGAACTTGTGTTTCATTTTATCTAGATCTCTGTTGGGACAGTATTTGATGTTTGGTCACATATGCCTACCATTTGTGTGGGAATCATTTTCTGATGCCCTCAATGGTAATATATAATCTGATAAATATGAATGTTCTGTGAGATCAGGGAGACAAAATTTAGAAATTGGGCTTATTTTATAAAATCCAGGCTCTATGATCATAATAATGAACCATAGTGTGCAGTATGTTGTGTTGGCAATGAGCAAAGTAGGCAATAAGAGGTATTGTCATAAGAGGTGTGGGAAAGCAGTTTGCCCAAAGCGCTCACTCTTCATCAAGCTTCTTTATTGCCCAAATTCGATAGCACTCTTGGCATTCCCATATCCTATGATCTGGGGAGAACTAGTCTTGGGAGAGGTTATAGATCAAGTCATTCATTGTATCAGGCAATGAAAAATAGAGTTTATTGGTCTTTTCCTAAAAGTAGATTATTTATAGGATGGCAAGAGAAAAGGACGAGAGAGCAAAAGATGGAATGCAAATTTACTGTTTCACAGATGACTAGTATTAATAAGGAAGGGATTTGTATGCAGTTTAATAGCAGAAAATACCTATTTCTTTTCTTTTTAAAAAGATTTTATTTTTAGTAATCTCTACACCCAACATGGAGCTCAAACTCATAACCCCCAAGATTAAGAGTCACATGCTCCACTGACTGAGCCAGCCAGGTGCCTTGAAAATACCTGTTTCTCGGGGTGCCTGGGTGGCTCAGTCAGTTAAGCGACTGCCTTCAGCTCAGGTCATGATCCCAGGGTCCTGGGATAGAGTCCCGCATCGGGCTCCCAGCTCTGCGGGGAGCCTGCTTCTCCCTCTCCCACTCCCCCTGCTTGTGTTCCCTCTCTCGCTGTGTCTCTCTCTGTCAAATAAATAAATAAAATCTTAAAAAAAAAAAAAGAAAATACCTGTTTCTCGGGCGCCTGGGTGGCTCAGTTGGTTAAGCGACTGTCTTCGGCTCAGGTCATGATCCTGGAGTCCCGGAATCGAGTCCCGCATCGGGCTCCCTGCTCGGCAGGAGGCCTGCTTCTCCCTCTGACCCTTCCCCCTCTATCTCATTCTCTCTCAAATAAATAAATAAAATCTTTAAAAAAAAAAAAGAGCTAAAGTCTTTTTTTAAAAAAAAAGAAAATACCTGTTTCTGACACGTGTAATGGGAGTTTTCACCAAATGGATGGGAATATAGTTGCTGAAATGTCCTCATCTACATATAATAGTTACCAGTAGAGTAATCTTTAGGGGAAAGTTATACTATCTTAACCTTTTAAATTAATATTCCTCTCTTTTTAATAGGGCTAACCATAAGAAATGAATTTTAATGTCTGGAATATCAAAGAGATGCTCAGTATTCCCTCAGGCTCTGGGTAAGTTTTCTGGTTATATACTCTGATACTGAGGATCTTATAGTTGTATTGATTTCATAGAAAAAGGCTCCCTTTCCTATTAGTTAATTAGTAATAGAGTTACTTCTATAGCTTCTTCCCCTTCTCCTCCCTTCCTTTCACTGCTCTCCCATCCTTGTCTTTTTCCTTTTGCCTATTTTCTGATCATGAAAGCATGTCAATTCAGCTGTGTGTGTTAACTGAGCAGTGGCTCTGTGTCCAGCACTGGGCCTAGGGACTATGGGGCCTGTGAGAATTAGACATGGCCCAACATCTAGAAACTCACCTTGGTTGGAGCGATTGCTATTGAAACAGCAGGGAGCAAAATCAAGACAATGTTCAGATACGTATTCAGTTGTGTAGTACCATTTGTAGGTACTGTGGAGTTAAGAGCCACTCTAGCTGTTGACAAAACTCACTGAAATATTGCCCCTTCTACTAGTCCACTGAAGTATTTACATTTCTGTCCGCCAGCCATGCAGTGGGCCTGCCATTGCTAACTTGGTGGATGTGCCCCAGAAGTAGTATATATTTAAGGGATTTCTAATTGCTTTATGTTTTATTATTGGATAGTTTATTTTTTTCCTAACACCTTCCTAAAGACAGTTATTAATTCAATAAAAACCTAGAGCACTGTGCTTTTTATCTCTTAAAAAGAAAAAAAATTGCTTGCAGTTGATACAGAGTAGGGAAAAATCTATCTTTGTTAAATTCTAGATCATAGCTTTAAGATGTAAATCCTACGTAATTTCTATAAGCTCACAGTTTTTTTTTCCAGCCCAGCTAATTATTCTCTTTGACCTAAGAGGGGAGTCACAGAGAGCTATTTAAGGTATTTTGAGCAATGATTACGCAACCCATATTATAATACATGTGTGCAGCCCATTACCTTAGCTAATCTTAGAAAATGGTTCTATCAGTGAAATAATTGCTCCTTCCTGTGCTGAACTATTTGTTTTGTTTTGTTTTGTTTTTTTGTCTTGCATCAATATATGATGGTTCCTTTGGCTTAGGATATTTACTTATATGCTATCTAATTATTTTAGATTTGGCTTATTTATTTACTAGAGGAGGGGAAGAGAGAGAGCGAGGGCAGGGGGAGGGGCAGAGGGAGAGGGAGAGAGAGAATCAAGAATCTTAAGTGGGCTCCACGCCCAGAGCAGAGCCTCAATTTGGGGCTCAATCTTACAACCCTGAGATTATGACCTGAGCTGAAATCAAGAGTTGGATGCTTAACCGACTGAGCCACCCCAGTGCCCCTAGATTTAGCTTTTTAAAAAAGGAATGATTTGTGTATTTGTGTTTGTGTGTCTGAATGAAAAACATGTTTTTTCAGGTTACATAACAGCATGAAGTAACACAAATTGTTACTGAGATGTCTTTCAAGTAAAAACTTGAAGACTGTATTTTACTTGTGTGCCTGCTCATGTGCTGTCTCTGTAATAGGCTCAGTACACTGTGTTCAAGTGTGATTGTATCATCACTATCACTTTCCCTTTCATATGAGAGGTTTAAAGACTGGTGTAAATACCCATGGGAAACAAGTTGGAAGTCCACAGCTGGAACTACTTCAAGCAAGAATAAGACACTAAAAGTGTGAAAGGGAACACCACCTTGTTTCTTCTCTCTCTTTTTTTTTTTTAACACCGCCTTGTTTCAAAAACAATGTTTAGGGGCACCTGGGTGGCTCAGTCGTTAAGCATCTGCCGTAAGCTCAGGTCATGATCCCAGGGTCCTGGGATCGAGTCCCGCATCGGGCTCCCTGCTCTGCGGGGAGTCTGCTTCTCCCTCTCCCACTCCCCCTATTTGTGTTTCCTCTCTCGCTGTGTCTCTCTCTGTCAAATAAATAGGTGGAATCTTAAAAATAAATAAATAAATAAATGAATAAATGAATAAATACAAAAACAATGTTTAATAGATCCTCCTGTGCACAAATCTGAGTTGATCATATTCTTCAGTCTGGATAAGGCCTGTATTAGTCTGCTAGGTTGCCATAACAAAGTACCCTAAAGTGGATGGCTTCAACAATAGAAATTTATTTTCTCAGTTCTGGAGATTGGAAGTCCTAGAACCATATGCCAGCTGGATCATTTCTGGTGAGGGTTCCCTTACTGGCTTGCTGACAACTGTCTTCTCTCTGTGTCCTCACAGGGAGGAGAAAGAAAGGAGGGCAAACTCTCTGGTGTCTCTACTTGTAAAGACCTTAATCCCATCATGAAGGCCCCACCCTCATGACCTTGTCTAACCCTAATTACCTCCCGAAGCCCCATTTCCAAATACTATCACATTAGGGATTAGGACTTCAACATATGAATTTTTGAAGAACACAGACAGTCTGTAACTAAGCTGTCTTGTGTTTTTTTGTATTATGACTCCTACTCTCCCTGTAATCCTGCTCCCTTCCTTCCCTGTAGGCACACTCTAGGAGAGTTAATGAGAGTTCTAATTCACCTTCTACACACACAGTTATATACTTGTTTGGTGTGGTGTGATGTAGATTTAAATGTTATATAAATGATACAGAGTTCATTCAATTTTTACTCTCTACACTCAAAATTACATTTTTGAGATTTATTCATGTGGTTATATGTAAATCTAGTTTATTGCTTCTGACTAATGCCTCAGTTATATGCATACACCATATATTATTTTTATCTATTCCCTTAGTGATTAACAGATTCAACTTTCTTTTTTAGAGAGAGCAAGAGAGCGAGAGAATGGGGGGTGGGAAGGAGGGGCAGAAGGAGAGAGAGAATCCCAAGCAGGCTCCACGCCCAGCACAGAGCTCTACATGGGGCTCGATTCTATGACCCTGAGATCATGACCTGAGCTGAAATCAAGAGTTGGGTGCCCAACTGACTGAGCCACCCAGGCACCCCCAGATTCAACTTTTTAAAAGATAATGTTCTTTTAATCCCTAAAGATTTCAGGAACTTTGATCCCCCAAATGGTGTTATAGCCCACAGTGCTGTTGTACAAAAAATAATAGTGTCAGTCCTTACTGTTTGATTTCCATCTGATCATTCTCAAGTTGCTGTAATCAAAATGCCTGGCATTCAGAATTTCTTGGTGTTTCTTTATAGGTAGTACTGGCAGTGTGCAGGGGCCTAGGAGGTCAGAACAAACTAGTACTCTGCCCAGAATATTCTGAAATGAATAGCTGTGAATTATGATTTCATTTGTTCAGAATGTTTGTCCACTTCATATACTTCTCTTTTCTTGCTTAATTTCAGGACCACTAAGCCATCTAGCTGGAATAATAATCAGACTGATTACTCCAGTCTCAGTGATTCCCAGTTCCTCTTTGGATCCCAGTTCTGTCCAGAAAGTTCAGAGACTCTGTCAGCACCCTTGGACAGTGTCCACTTGAGACAACCAAAACAGTCACAACAGAATTCTCTGGACGTGAGTCTCATTTCCAGAATTTCTCTGCACACATTTCATAATCATTATGGAGATAAGCTATAAAGAAGACTTATTCTGTTGAATTATATTTTAGAATTATACATCTCTAAGGATTACTCTCCTAAATGGATTTGCACTTGATTGGTAACTCAGTAGTCTGAGAGACTTGGTAGTCTGAAATACTATATCGACTAAGTCAGCGAGGCACCTGATTAGCTGATATATATTTTTTCAAGATTTTATTTATTTATTTGAGAGAGAGAGAGTGAGCACAAGCAGGAGGAGTAGCAGGCAGAGGGAGAGGGGAGAAGCAGACTCCCTGCTGAACAGGGGGAGTCCTGATGTGATGCAGGACTCAATCCCAGGACCCTGAGATCATGACCTGAGCCAAAGGCAGATGCTTAACTTAACAGACTGAGCCACCCAAGTGCCCATAGCTGATATTTTTAATATCTCTGGGCTGGTAAGGCAGAAAGCTTATTAATAAAAAGAGTTGCTTTATTTTAATGTAATTTTCTGATGTATATGAAATAAAAAGGAAATACTACATGCCATGTTGTTTTTTAGTATTATGGTTTGCACTTAAATGTGACTCTACATTGTGTAGAAAATAGTGAATGCTGTAAATATTTTCATGTGTGAAATGCTGTGATTTTTTTTTCATTTAACAGAGTGAACCTAGTATTTTCACAAAGTACCAGACAAAACCCCAGCTGTTTGGAGGAGATACAAACGACAGAGGCTTATTTCCTCTTCCTTTGTCAGTTGGAAAATCAAAGGGCCTCTTGGAACAGTTTGAAGAGAAAAAGAAAAGGGCAAAAGACAAATGTGACAGGTATGCAAACCTTTCAAGTGAATGAGACATCTCATCTCTTTTGAGGGAAACAGAAAATGGAATATTAATAGTCAAATAATTCTATTTCAGCATAACACTCTTGCCTTTATAGCTCATCTAATAATTACTCTTTATTTGCTTACTTGTCAGTGTGACTTGTGGCAGGTTTGAATTTAGCTGCCACAGTTCTGGCCCTCTGGAAAAAAGTAAGCTAAAGGACTTATTAGAGAAATACAATATTCAAGTAATGTTATGTTTATTTTGCCAAAATTCTGCCCTTTAATTTGTTATCTTTTCAGATCATCAGTTAGGAAATTAGATAACAGTTGTTTTAGGGTCAAGAATATAGCACATGAATTCTTTTTCTTTTTTAAATATGTAATGCTTCACAAATTTTCGTGTCATCCTTGCGCAGGGGCCATGCTAATCTTCTCTGTATGGTTCCAATTTTAGTATATGTGCTGCCCAAGCGAGCACAGTACGTGAATTCTTTAAAAAGCTGATTCAGGCTATTCAGGCTGGTTTTCTCACTTTGAAATGTTGGTATTTTTTTTTTAAGATTTTAAGTAATCTCTACACCCAATGTGGGGCTCGAACCCATAACCCCAAGATCAAGAGTCACATGCTCC